CAGCTTTGCATGTAATACCTTTATTCTCTCTTAAAAGCACCTACTTGCTGAGCAACCCCTAATATTTGTGGCTTTCTGGTCACAGGAAATAGCAGTCTCATCAAGCAACTGAGACACGGCTTTGTATCAGCACCGAACTGATCTTGCTCTTCGTCTGCGTCAGTGGGAGTTTGTAATCCATCTCCATTTATAGCAAAAATAGGAAGTCCCCCATCTTTAAATAATAAACGCTTAGAAAATAGGCAAAAAGATTCCTAAAAATCCCACAATTCAGAGGCAGCAAAACCCCTCTCAAATCTGTGGTGTTGTCGTGTTTGCAGTGAACCATCCTGACATGATTCAGCTCTCACACCTCCTCCGCCCCAGATCTCCGGGGAACGATCGCTGCCGCAGGAGCTCCCCATCCGCGCAGCCGTCTCGTTCTTCTCTGGCGCTAACAAAGCCCGGTTGCCTCCGACGAAACCCAAAGCCGCCGGCTCAGCCAACCATCTCTCCTGCCTAAAAGTTTCTTGTGATATCCTGCCGGTGGGCAGCGATTCAGGCTGGGAGGCATCTCGCTGGGGTTGAAGGTGAGTTTTCTCTCCAGGTTCCCTTCGTTCTCCAGAGAGAGAGCGCGGAACCTGACGGAGCAGAGGCTTTGGCAGCAAGTTTCAACCCCTGTGTCCCCCTCTTGCTGGTACAGGGAGGGCGAAGGGATGAATTTCCCTCTGCGCCCACCTCTCATTGCTTAGGGAACGACCACATACCCCCAGCTCGTCCTCCTGATCGCTCCCCTTGCAAACGAGCGGGGCACTGAAACCTCTGTGGGCAGCAGAGACCCTCTCTGCACCCCGAGAAGATGGGCTTGGTGGTTGGTGCCACGTAGCCAGGACTTCCCACGGGGTCTTTTGCCAGGACAATTCCCTGAAATCTCCCACGCAGAATGGGCAGATGCCACCAGCAAATTTATTTCCCGGCACCGAGTCTGTCTTCTCTTCGGGAGGCAAGGAACGCCCTTTGATGGAAGGCCTGAGCAATTTCCTCTAACGCTCTCCTTCCAGCACTTTTAGGAAGACAAATCCATCCCTTGCTGGTCAGTGACCTCCCGACGTGACGTCTTCATCCCAGTGGGATGGATTTGGACGGACAAGTGATAAAAGCAGCGCCCCAGCAAATCTTGACGTTGGCTGCGCTCCCGTCTTTAAATGAGCATCAGAGCTATTTTCCATCCTGTCATGGAAGCAGAGGAGCATCTTTAGCCGTGACACGAGAAAAGAAGGTGCTGCGCTCAGCCAGGAGGTGCAGGATTCCCCCCGCCCCCGCCATCAGCCTCCAGCCATTAACCCCCATCAGGCTGTGAATTCACAGCAACTGGCTGAAACGCTTCGTGACAGGGTAGCTCTCCACTAAATGCTGCGAAGACAGGCCCATTTGAGGAGCGTTTGCTCATCCAGACAGGAGAAGGGAGTGCTGCTTTGTCAGCCTGACCTGCTTCCTATCCCCAGCGCACAAGCAACGTGTTTGAGAAGTTTCTCCTTCTCTGCTGCATCCCTTTCCAGCCGCAGGAAAACGCACAAATCGGTGAAAATCTTCCAGTTTTCCATGCGGTACCCAATATCCTCTAATTTATTCTGATTAAACTTTGTCACTTTTTGACCTCTGTGGGCTGCTGCAGAGCACCGCAACCTCCATCCTTTCTCCCTCCTCTGGAGGAGCTCTCAAAAACCTCACACAAAGCTAACAAAGTTCCCGCTGTTAATGAAGGATTGGGGGGGGAGAATATTCTTGTGGTTTGCCCTGACCATGTGTAAGGGTGTGATCACTCAAGGATTGGAAAATCATTGTCATTTCTATGCAGCAAAGATGCTTTAAAGCTACGAGTGTAGCCGGAGGGTGTTTTAGGAGTGAAACAGCGCAGGAACGTTGCAGGTCGCTGCCGGACGCCCCGTTTCCCATCATCTGGGTTATTCCCTGATGTGAAAAGTGATTGGGAAGGGCACAAATGGCGAAGCTCTGCGGCTGAACCCTTCCAGCATCCCCCAGCCCCTTTGCTGATGTGTAGGAAGAGCTGGGGCCGTATTTCAGCTGAGCCGGAGGGATGGGGAGGGTGGATTTGAGGATGCTGCCCACTCCCCACCCTGTGGCAGGCCTTTGGGGCTTTCCTCTGTGAGCAGAGGCGAGCTGGGTTATAGATAGCAGGCAGCTAACGCCGCCGATTAATGCTGCAGCGCCCGCCTCGCCCGCCTCGCATGTCGTTAGGAGATCAGCGCTAACGAAGGGGGCTCCTCTGGGGCCCCAGGAAGAGCCTGGGGAAGAGCAGGGACGTGGCAGAGCAAATCCGGTGCTGGAGACGCAGAGACGGGACCCCCGTGGCTGATGTGGGGGGGATTTGGAGCACGGATTCGAGTAGCCCCAAAGCATCAAGCAGGAGCTGGGATGTGGGTTGGGGGCTCCAGCATTGCCCCGGGGCCGCGGCTGGGTACCTGTGAGCATCACTGCCCAGCAAGGATGCTCCCAGCTGGATCTGCCCAGCCCCACGAACCCCCCATCATCCTGAGATCACTTTGTGTCATGACTCACCCCAGATGACCTCAATATTTTCATCCCCAAACCCCCTTTTTATGTTTTCTATACATTTTCTGCCTCCCCCTGCTTCCCCCTTCCCACCTCATCCTCCCCTTGATTCTCGTAAGTGATTCTGTGTTGTGGCTGCGGAGCCTCTGCAACTTGGAAAAACATTTTATTAACCTTCCTTGACTTTAAAGAGCATAATTACATTTTAATCTCATATTCCTGCGTTATCATTCCAGACACAGAGTCATTTGAATGCAGATCGTTCCCGGCTAATGTAATTTTACGATACAGTAATGAAGAGACGGAGCATGAGCGTGTAACACCCAATTTAGAGCTGACATTTGGGTTTCTTTTAAAGAAAAGTTTTCCCACCCGAGGGCTTTTGCGTCCTCCTCGGTCCTGCAACGCAAGTGGGTTTCAGCTCCCGCTGTGAAGGGATAGATTTGGATGGGGAAACGTGGCCGGTGCTAATAATATTGGTCATTAAAGCTGCCCACAGCTGCCCCACGTGAGTGATTCAGCATCTCCGGTGGTGGGCACAGGGCGAATTTGGGAACTCACCGTTCCCTTGGTCCTAGGGAGATCTGACTCAGGGGCTGCAGTTTTACCTTCATCCCAACTGGAGGGGGGTTGGGGGGAAATCACCCTCATTTTACCCATCAAAAAGCCCAGGAGCCCCCAAAAAAACCAGGACCATCACCCCCCCCAGGTTGGTGCATCCCTCCAAAATCACAGGGCAGGAGACAGGAGCAGGCTGGGACCCCCAGCACCACAAGCTTTGCCCCAAAATAGATGTTTGCCCTTATCCCTGTGTGCCTCAGTTTCCCCCGGGCGGCGAAGCGATGCTCTGGGCTTCATCTCCCTCCAACATCCCTCGCTGGTGCCTATGAAGCCCAGCATGGCGCTCTCTTTGCTTTTCAAAGCATTTTGATTTTGCCGGGGTGGATCACAGCAGGACCACGGTTTCCTTTGGGATGCTCGAGTGGAGCCACAGCCCCTTCCCCACCCGGGGTACCACCGTCCCCCTTGCTCCAACGGGTGCTGAGCCAGTCTGGGTTGCTGATCTGGCAGAAAAGGGATGTTAATGAGGGTCAGAAAATGAGGGATGCTAACGAGGGTGGGGGAAAAGCCATGCTCCAGCCACCCCAAGTGACCCCCAGGCTGATTTTTGTGGTTCTCTGCCTCCAAGTCCCAGCTTTGATGAAGATGAGTTCAGCGTGGGCTGAAGGGTAGAAAATCACCCCAGCGGCAGGACCACAGCTGGCAGCAACCCCCCCCCCCCCATTGCCCCCCCCAGCCCTCCCAGCACCCCTAAACGAGCCCCTCTTAATCACTGTGAGCCAGCCCCAATGCTTCGGGGGGGGGGGCGGCGGATGCTCGTTAGGTGCCCGATTCCGTTCTGCATATTAATTTCATGTTGCCGAGGTCGCCCTCAGCATTGCTGGAAAGGGGATCTGGGACTGGAAGGAATATTCATGGCGGGATGGGGGGGGGGGGGGGTTTTTACTGACATTTCTGACAGCCCATTGGTGCCACGAGCGCGCTGGGTCTCAGCACAGGTGGGACCCGCTGGTTGCCAAGAGGGTTGATGCTAGCCCCAAAGGTGTGGTGGGTTTTTTTTTTTTTTTTTTTTTTTCTTTTCCTCTCCCTCTCTGCTATTGGTTTCTCTGCTGTCTCGTTTCTCGGAGAAACAGAGGTGGAAAAGGCAGGTGAGCCGTGGGCAGCAATGACGGGTCCCTTTGGGTGTGGGTTGTGGCAAGGTGCTGCTCCACGCGCCGGCACTCTGCGGTCCAGTGCTGCAGCTGAGCCCCTTGGTTTAGGTGGGTCTTTGTGCACCTCAGAGTTCTTCCCCCAGCCCTGACCCCATCG